AAAAAAAAAAAAAAAAAAAAGGGGGGGGGGGGGGGAAGTTCCCAGCCGGGGTTAGAAGTTAAAGTCTCCAGCCCAGACGAGCGCCTGAGTGCAAGCCCATTCCCACGGCGCGGCGCAGAGAGGAGGTCCCTCGTCCCGGGGCGCGCGCGGCTCGGCGCGGCTCGGCTCGGCTCGGCGCGGCTCGGCGCAGTCCGGCTCGGCTCGGCGCAGTCCGGCTCGGCTCGGCGCAGTCCGGCTCGGCTCGGCGCGTCTCGGCTAGGCTCGGTCCGGCCGGGCACAGACACGCAGGATGCTGCACTGGGGCTACGAGGAGCACAACGGTAGGGCCGGGACGCCGGAGGCTGCCGGGGTGCGGGCGCTGGACGTTGGCAGCGCTCGGAGGGCTGAGCTCTTTCCCGCAGGAAACGTGGCGTGTCAGAGAATGTGAGCTCAGAACCAGCACGGGGAAACTTTCCCATCGTGGGTGTTTCGTGGTTTCCCCCGTCAGGTCCCTCTGTGGAAGTCAGCAGAGGTGCTGCGTACGCAGCTCCCGCCGCCGGCCGCGCGTGCACGGCCGGTGTGTCCCGTGCTCGGACACCAGGCAGGTCCCCAGCGCCGGGTCTGCCCTCGCCCCGGGAGAGAAGGCACCGTGGGGCCCAGGGGAGATGTGTGGGTTTGCCTTGCGGGTGCTCGCACACGCCAATGCCTGCAGCAGCGTGCTGCTTTTACAGGATTATTTTGCATTAGAAATACTGTTTGTGCGAGTCCTGCCTGTCCTTCAGATCCCTTTGTGCAGTCTTTTCGGGATGGATCTACTTTTCCAGAAAAACTGGGTCCTGTTGCAATGTCGAGACGTGCTATCGGGTACTCTGCAGGTGCTGCACCCCTCCCCACAAGGCACAAGTGGGGCTTGTTTTGCAGATTTGCGAGAGCCTCCGTATGTTTTCCAGGAGTGCCGAGGCCCGCACCTGCACGTCCCAGATAAGGGGCTCAGTCGCCCCCCTTATCCTGACTCCCTCCTTGGCCGTCCCAGCTTCCAGGAAGGGGAGGCTGCCGCGGCTCCTATCAGGCGGCCGCGTGGACCTGTCCGGAGGCCCCAGCTCCRGTGTCCGATCCTGTTTTGTGGCTGATAGTGGCGGGCGCCCTCACCTCCCCGGCAGCCCTCCATCCCCTCCTCCCATCCCAAGGCAGGAGAACCTGGGGCCCRGGTAGCCGGTGCCCCCGGCAGCTCTCGCTCTTCTCTTTCAACACAWTCCTCTAAACCTATGTCCAGTTCTGCTGAGTAGCAGATACGTGGGATCACGCCAAATTGTGGCAGATTTTGTTCCCTCAGCGGGCTGTGAGAGGTTTCTCCAATCTAAGATGAGCTTTTACAATTTAAGGAAGTAGAGACAGAGTAAAATTAATTAAATTTGGCCACAGTCATATACTAGAAGTGACTTCCTGAAGACATCTGCATTTGCTTCCAACTCTGCCTTTATTCTCTGCAGAGATAAAACTGCTTCTTTTTTAAACCCAGGGGAAACTCTCCAGCCTCCTTAGCAATAATGAGCACAACAGAAGCTCTTTGGTTCCTRAACTTTCAAGTATTCCACACCTATGTCTACATACATAGTATATGTATATATAGGCATGGGCTGAGTGGTATGCACAGAACAAAACGGTGCTTTGATGCCTGCATTGCTAAGATGCTGAGAGACATTATTTAATTTCTATGCAAACCTTGATCTTTGTTTTCTTGCTCTTTGCAGTTTTGAGGGTGTTTGCATGTGGAGGCATAATCCTGAGCTCTGGAGAGCTGCCTCTGCCCAACATTATGCGCTTGGGGCTCCTGCGGAGGGACAAATGTCCTCACCSCTTCACAGAAACTTTCCTCTTTAGATAACTGGGCAATTGTTTTAGTTACAAGACAAATTCAGAATCAATTGCCTTTAATTTATGACTTACTTAATCGAATGTTTGGAAAGTACTTACGTATATTGTGCTTTACTGCAGAAATGTCCTTATGTTTCTTACAAGTCTAACACTCAAGTGGTTTATAAATGAAAAAGTGGTATAAATTCCTGATTTTAGTTATTTATCTTTGGGAATCATCACATAGTTTTGATGTCTGCTTTGAAAAGTGCCACTGAATCTTCCCCATTATGAATTTCCAATTGGTTCCATTAGGGCTAATATTTTTGTAAGCTGCTTGCAAACCTGACATTACAAATGTGAGCATTTTCCATGTGGTAAATTGAGCAGTGGACTCTCTTTAGAAACAACTGAACATGTGGTCTTGCAAAGAGAGTATTTTTTAAATATGTACCTGGAAATTAAAAATGTGTTACATTAAATGGAGGCGTACAGCTAGGGTCCAAATTCAGAAGCGATTTCCACCCTGGAGGTCCCCAGGCTTAAATCCAACTGTGAGACCTGCATTACAATATGACCACTGTGTCCATGGTCCTCCAACACTAATGACTTTTCTTCGAGTGGTTGTGCACAACATTTGCTTTGGGAAGGTCTTAGTATCACAAATTGAGCCACAGTTTTCCTGCAGTTGCAAAAGTGATAATTTAATTTCTGGATTGTTAGTAGCTAATCTCATAATGCACTGCTCCRTATAACTGAGGAAAAATGAACCTGTATTTTTTGCAATTTTCTCATATAGGCCAGATTTTTGCCAGCCTAATGTTACTGAGAAATACTTAGTTACAAAAGCAAAGATATTATTTTGATAATCTGAACTAAGGACAAGTGTAGAAACAGATACAATGTCTTTTTAGAACGAAGTTTATTGTAGAATAGTTAGTTGATGCTAGGATCACCAGTCTGGGTCCTCTTGTTGCCCAGGTCCAAGAGATTAAAAAAGTACTAGCCTAAATTATGCCATATTATTTTCTATTGAAAGATGGAATTGTTTAGATAAATCAAATTCAGGTAGAGCATACCTTTTTTCTTTTCTTTTTTTTTTTACTATCGCTCTGTATTTTTCAGAACGCTTTTATAATGCTTAAGTCATACCTTTTTATTACAGTTTCTTCTTAGACAACTGAGCAGATTTGATGTGGAGATTCCAAAGAGGGACTCTGTTTTTGTTTAGCTAATACTATGTTTGCATAGACTTCATAACTCATAAGTTTCTGTGGCTATTTTGCAAATAATTCATATTATTTACTGCATGATAACTGTAGATATTGCTGAGCTGGAGTAGGGCATAATTAAGCACATAAATATATTTTGCTTTTCCTCAGCTTAGCAATATCCTAACATGTTCAAAATTAAGTAGCAATAAGCTTGTTCTCAGCATCCTAAATTGCCGCAGTAAGGTGTAAGTAATGGGATGTTGCTTCTTAACTGGGAAAATTTGTGCACTGCATCTCTAACAAGGAAGATACTAGAATCTAAACATAGTTAAAGTAATTGTTGTTGGAAGTAATAAACATCTTACTATCTTGAAATATTTATTCACACATTTACAGATTTAAACATAATACCTGCTATCTTAGTAGTGGCTTAATAGGCCTAGTTAATTAAGTCATTAACAAAATGACTTTCTAACAAATGCAAGACTGAAGACCTTTGTTCTACTTGAAATTTAAGCCTTAGCTGGCTTTTAGAAACCCCTCCTTCCCTCTTAATTTTTTTCTGAGATTCTCAGAAGGATAGAGGTGGATGATGAGAGTGGTCAGGCATTGGATCAGGCTGCCCATGGAAGCAATGGAGTCACCATCCCTGCCAGCATTCAAGAAACATGTAGATGAGGCACCTGTGGACATGGTTTAGCAGGCATAGTGTTGAAGGGCTTATGGTCGGACTCAATAATCTCAAAGGTCTTTTCCAGCTATAAGGATTCTGTGATTCCATGAAGATGTTGAGAGCTCTATGAGTCAGGATTAAAGAGCAAGCTAACATCAGTGACACTGTTACTTGGAGGGATCCTATGGGTTAGAGTCCTAGAAAGTAGAGGGATCCAAGAGAGCTCTTGGATTGCTCAAGGATTGCTTTCTTCAAGTTCAATATTGGTGCATCCCAATGAACAAAAAGACTACCAAAGGGAGCAGGAGCGTTTCATGGATGAGCAAGGAGCTCCTGGCAAACGCAAACAGATAAGGAAGTGTAAAGTAGGTGGAATGAGTACAGACCACTCAGATTATCACCTGAGTATGCAGTGATGTGACGAGGAAGACCAATATCCATTTGGAACTGAATTTGGCAAGAGATGTCAAGGACATAAAGAAGGGCTTCTTCAAATACCTTAGCAACAAAAGGAGCACTAGGAATAATGTGGGCCCACTGCTAATGGGGTGRGTGCCTTAATGACAAAAATACAGAAAAGGGAGAGGTACTGGATGCCTTCCTTGCCTCAGTCTTTACTGCTGAGGCCAGTCCTCAGCTATCCCACGTGCTGAAGACAAGATAGAAAGTCTGGAGAAAGGAAGACTTTTCCTTGATGGGGGAGGATAGAGCTAGAGATCATTTAAGCAAACTGGACATCCAGAAGTCTGTGTGTCCTGATAGGAAGCACCCAGGAGGAAACTGGCAGATGTCGTTATTAAGCCAATCATCTCCCAAAGGTCTTGGGGAGCAGGAGAGGTGTCTGAGGACTGGAAGAAAGCCACTGTCACTCTACTCTTCAAAAAGGAGAATACAGGCCAGTTGGCCTCAACTCCATCCCTGGAAAGGTGATGAAACAGGTCATCCTGGATGTTGTCTCTAAGAATGTGTARGACAAGAGGGTGCTCAGAAGTAGTCATCATGGATTCACCAAGGGGAAATCTTGCTTAACCAATCTTCTGTGACGGAATGACTGGCTGGGTAGATGAGCAGTGGATGAGCAGTTGTYTGCCTTCACTTCAGCAAGGCTGTTGAAACCCTCTCCAATAACATCCTCATGGGGAAGCTCAGGAAGTGTGGGTTAGATGAGTGGGCAGTGAGGTGGATTGAGAACTGGCTGGATGGCAGAGCTCAGAGCATTCTCATAAATGGGGCTGCGGCTGGTTGGAAGCCTGTAACTAGCAGGGCCGCCTAGGGATCAGTACTGGGTCCAATCCTGTTCCATTTACTCATTAGYGACGGCAATGAAGGGACAGGGTGCACCCTCAGCAACTTTGCTGATGATACAAAACTGGGGGGAATGTCTGATACCACAGAGGGCTGTGCCATTCTGAGGGACCTGGACAGACTGGAGAGATGGGCAGAGAGGAACTTCATGAAGTTCAACAAGGACAAGTGCAGGGTCCTGTGCCWGGGGAGAGAGACCCTCAGGCACCAGAACTGACTCAAGGGTGACCTGCTGGAGAGCAGCTCTACAGAGAAGTACCTGGGGATCTTCCAAATTAGGATTTTTTTTGATATAGCTGATGCATAATTGAGTCCTAAGTGTATAATTAGATATCTTCCTACTGCGCTCAGACTGGTCCTATACGGTTAAATACATGGCACACGGTAGATGTATCTAACAGGTACCCTGAAAGCTACGATTGAGGAGGTGCAGCTGAGGTGGCTGAATATTTTGGGGTGTTTTTCTGAATGTGCTTATTCTGAGTTAGAAAATAATATAAACAAGAATGATTCAAGCAGAGGCTTCTTCCCTATGAAACACAAGTTTAGACTTCTCCTCTCCTTGTCCCTCCTCCTTTCAGGGCCTGCCCACTGGAAGGAGGTTTTTCCTATCGCTAATGGAGACCGCCAGTCCCCCATTGACATCAAAACTGAGGAAACCAAATATGATCCCTCTCTTCGCCCCCTAAATCCCAGCTATGATCCCGCTTCTGCAAAAGTCATCCTGAACAAYGGCCATTCCACCAGCGTTGAATTCGACGACACCGTGAACAAGTCAGGTTTGTTCCTTTTACCTTGCTCCATGTTTTCTTTCTTGCTTCCTTGTCTAGAGGACAGCCTGGGCATGTCTCACTGCTAGACACATAACTTCTCCTAAACAGTAAGGCTTTGGTCCTCCACGTGAGAGAGTCCCTTTTTTTCCCCCTCGTCTTTCAGCACTTTACAATTTAGGAATGTATTGCAACAGAAGCACTAAGTTGTGGTTTTCAGAGAGCTGTAGGATGCCCTTTTCTCATGGAGGGTTTGATCCGCCCCAGCTAGCAAGCTCGTGTCAGCACCCTGCTTGAACAGTGTTGTTGTACAGTTTCTCAAATGCTGCTGTCTCTCACTGCAGATGAATCCTTTGTGTCTCATTACAGGTTCATTCCAACCGAATCGCTCAAGTCTCTTATCTGACTTTAGCTGCAGGTTTGGTTATATATATATATATATATATATTTTCCCCTTTGTAATCTATGCCTGGACTTGTTATGTCAGGGAGGAGCCAATGCGGAACAAATGAAAGATATCCCAAGAGATCTCTTTTCTTCTCTGGAAAGTGTCGTTGTCCTGCTCTTTCAGAGGTGCACACAGGCTCCCTTTTTGCAAGCAGTAATTATGAAGACGTTCACTGCTTTAGGACAGTCTCTGCAATGTTAATACCTTCTTCTTCAGTTGCTTCTCTTAGATGGTAGCATGAATACTTTTCCTGAAACTGCAGAGTGCAGCTTCTTCAAGCAAAGTCCTTTTGTGGTTGCATTAGGTATAGCTGAGGATCCAACCCCAAGAAATATATGCATAAATGTCAAAGCTGAAGAGGGCTAATTTGTGATCACACTAATGGTTAGTCCCCAGTATTATTAAACCATTGTAATCACCTGTCTCCTTCAGGAGACTCTGTCTTCTATGTATGGCCTAGGTTCTTCAGTTGCGCACACATAGCTTACACTTTGGCCAGAATCATGCCTTATTTACCCCCTAATCCAAGTCTTTCTGTAGCCATAAGCTCAATTGTTCACTATTTCTCTTAATATTTGCCACGGACAAACTTGATCAACTATATTTTTGGCTTATTGTGGCRTCAGAGAGAGACATAAATAGACAACATCATATTTCTCTTTCGCAACAGTCTTAGTAAAACTGTTAAATTTCCTGTTGATACAAACAACACTGGGATGTTGCCCAAAAGCCAACAGCTGAGCATCAGTCATCTAGTCTGACCTCATGAGCGTCAGAGACCACAGCACTTCCAGAATTAACTTTTGCTTCAAGTCTAGTAGGTGTGGATGAACTAAGGCACATCTGTTAGAAAAATACACAAACTTGATTTCAAAATTACCAGCGATGACAAATCGACAACGGCCTTTGGTAAGTTATTCTAATTATTAATTGCCCTCCCAAGTAAAGAAATAGAAACCGTACTTTATTTCTGGTGGGAGTTTCATCAGCTCAGCTTTTAATTTCATTTCTTTTTTAAAAGAAGTAGAATTGAATATGAAAACATCAAGAAATTATTGTACTTCCTAACTCCCTCCATGAGGTGACATGAACTGAACTTAGTCTTTCTGTAGACTCACACTGGTCGTAAGTACGGGTAAGGAGATCCTCTTTCTACAGGTGTCCTCAGTCCATATATCCAAGGTTATTATCCTTGTCACTGCAAAGCACTGGTATCTATCTGATGATTGGATAATTAAGGAGTTGTAATCCCTAGTGTCTTTTGGGAGACTCCATTTCTTCTACGTATGGCCTAAATCCATTATTCACACATGTAMAGCTTGCACTGTGGCCAGAATCATACATTACTTATCAAAAATCCAAATCCTTCTGTATTCACTTAAGTAACTTAGTTACTTGCCATTCCCCTTAATATTTGCCACAGAAAACTTTATCTGCAGTGTTTTTGTTTTCTTTCAGGTCAAAAAATAAAAAAAAACCCTGAATTTTCTAGAGTAAAAATTTGGTCTTTGGTGTACCCCTGTGAAGCAAACACTCCTGCCATATGATGGTTTTATGAAAAAAAAATCCAATTTTTGGTACTAAATACTTCTTCATCTTTTAATTCATTATGAACTGAATTCTATAAAAACTATTTCTTTACTTTGCCCTGTACTGCAATTAGGCTGTCAGGACTGTATTTATTTGTGTAATTCTGCTTATCTACCGTGATGCCATATAAGCTCCATTCTCCCAAATTGCCCCATTAGTGTTTCAAAGACCTCTTCATAAGGCTCTGCTCAGGCTTTGCAATACTGATACTTGTTGTGAGATACTTGTTGTTCTGGTTAACTCCCTCCTTAATAACTTCTGGAATGGAAGGTTTTCATCATCATTGTGTGACRTGACACAAATACCTCATCAGTCCCCTTTCCACATTATTCAGCAGACATAATTCACTGAATGCAGATACATTTCTCTGTAGTTCTCCCTGAGCTGGGCAGAGTACTGATTTCTATGCACTTTTAAGATTATTTGTTTCCAAGTATTTGGTTCCTGAAAGAACCAAATTTGGTTCCTGAAAGAAACAAGAATTTGTCTAGGAGTGCCACTTCCCCACTGGCTTTGTTCACTAGATTTATAGGCTCTGTAAAAACATCTTTCCGAACTGAAGTTTTAAGTAGGTCAAATACTTCTCTCCATGGGTAAACAGTTACAGTTACTGTTTGTTAGCCAGGACACTTCTGTTAGCAGAAGGGCAATGCAGGAATTTCTTCTTTTACCATTGTTTGGTGATATTTTGCTCCTAATAAAGTCGAGTTTTGTACTAAACCTAAAAGGCACAAGTAAAGAATATTCTCCTCCCTGGTGCTCTTAGTTTAAAACACATTTGATGGATGTTCCTATCCTTCCTCCTGAAGAATTCTCTTAAAGAGCTAATAAAACCACCCGGAGTGGCCCCAAAATCGTCAAAGGAAATACAGAACAGGAGCTGGGGTGATTTTTTTTTTGCAGTGAAGAAGGAGTATTCTTGAAATGTAGATGATTCACATTCAAGTCACTAAACAGACTTGACTGAGATGGTTTGGGTCCAACACTCAATAGAAAAAGAAGAACACTTATGAAAATAAAAAAAGTGAAAAGCCCACARATTGCTAACTAAATGTCACTAATATTGCGTTTGTGCAATGAAGAGACACTGTCTTCATTTGACTTGTTAGTGCTTGCYCTTGTTTCTCAGTTGTCAGTATGCTATGGTTGGATCTGGTTGCAAATGAAGGAAAATGTTCAATTTTTTTTTTCTAACCCCAACTACATTAGTTTCTTCCAAATTTCAGATAGGAGAAATTTCTATTCACCTGACATTTTTCTGCCCTTCCCCTTTATTCATAAAATCATACTCATAAATATTCTTTAAGCTTAACTTCCCAGTGATCCTTCCAGATAYGCTGAAGAGAACATACTTGATTTTTTTTTAATCCCACATCCTGAGAAATATCTAGCCTATAACTCAGGAGCTAGAGATGACACCAGATCTTTTGGAGGCAGTAACTTGTCTACACATAAATGCTGCTTGGAAGTTGCTCTTGATGAGCAGGAATTTCTAAATCGCTTCAGAGCAATGAGACTCCTCTGAGATGTTTTGCACAGAAAGACGGTGGGCGGGTTGACAGCAGCAGTCTGGTGTAAGGGTGGAGGACCTGGTGATGAAGTCTGGATCCCTCAAATGAGGCTTTTTGTGCATTTTGCCTCCTAGTGCTGACGGGAGGGCCACTCAGCGGGATGTATCGCCTGCGCCAGGTCCACTTCCACTGGGGCTCCAGCGACGAAGCCGGCTCYGAGCACGCCGTGGACGGCATGAAGTACGCGGCCGAGGTGAGGCCTTGCGCGCAGCTGCCTGCATGCCCGCCGTTGGGATTAGTTTTCTGCTTTCTGTAAGATTTATGTTGCCACCTCTTTCCTTGCTTTTCCTTCTTCATCATTTTATCACAAGCCATCAGTCTTCTTGAAGTGTCGCATGTCTGGTCCTTTCTCAAACAAGAACCTATCTGAAAGCTTTGGAGAGGATTGTAAAAAAAGGAATACAGAAGACAAAAAACTTGATATTCAAAGATTTAATGTTGAAGAACTGTCTTAATCTTTGTCTTTCACTATCTGTTCCTCGGAGAATAGTTTCTAGGTCAGGTTCAATTACAACCGCAAGACTATGAGGCTTTTGGCCAATCCAGTCTAATGCTTATGGAAACATAGGAACAGTATTTCTTGTGGTGGATAGAACAATGCAGTAGTCAATATTTTGAGAAATGCACCTTTAAAATTTGTGGGGGTCTGTGGAGGATGGCAGCCATTGCATGGTGTTGCAGTCAAGCAGGGTATGCTGTGGAAGAAATGTACCTTGTGCTTCTGGTACAGAGATGCTGCTTTTGCTCATTCTCCTTCRGTGCATTTTAATAATCTACTGTAAAAAGCAGTCAGTGTTTTCTCTTGCACTGGAAGGAACATAGACTATATGGATGAGACCAAGATCTTTAACAACATATAGCTCAGACAGTGAAGAGCATTTTGTTGTTAAAAGAAGGGGGAAAAAAGTATAAAAATAGATATTAATGGAAAACTAAAAGACTTAAATAATACTAAAGAGGAAAAAAATGAATGCRTGCACAGTGGTATAATCGAATTCTATTGCAAATGCTGTAAGCCAGAATGGACAAGAGAAAAAAATATCAGTTTTCTAACAGTAATGGGGAAAAGTGACATTTGCAGTGTTTAAAGGCTTATGTTTTCCACAGGAACCAGGTGAGATGGAATATAAAGAATTAATAGCAGTGCTATTAATTAAGTACCCAAACCAAATTTCTAGCTGAGAAAACATATAGATGTTTCCCACCTAAGAAACCAAATGGAAGGAGAAAATATCTCTGAATTTCTAGCCAATCTAAAAACCTTTCCGTTACCTGCTGGTTTGGTAACCTTCCACAAGAAGCTCTGTAGATGTCACACTGATTTTGGGATAAGGATCCCAGAATCAAGATCAAGGCTTCTGAGCACTTTCCACACAAAAGAAAATACCTCAGAAGGAGATGTGAAGATGGCTTCAGTGCTCACCTTCATGAGCAAGATGTGTAAGATATCAAGAAAAGAAACAACTACCAAAATGAAGAACAAAGAAGTTCACAAGTAAAGAAGACTGCAGGTTTCAAACCCTTAAACCTGCAGGGAAGCAGAAAGGATCCCTGGCTCCATTCTTTGTGCAACGTATGATCTGATCAAGGTCTCGCCACAAGCTGCAATGACAGAGCAGTGGTAAGACAGTATATATTCCTTAAAAGAGAAGTCTCAAGCCATTGAGAATGGGGGCTCTACCCAGAAGTATTTCACAGCTCTGTTGGTTTTGGGGTTTTTGATTTTTTTTGGTTTGTTTGGTTGGTTTGGGCTTTTGATGGAACAGAAGTTATGAGGGAGTGGGAATGAGTTTCATTTAGCCGTGGAAATCTTAATTTTTGTTCCTTGTTTTCTTTTYRTTTTTTAAAAATCTATAATAAAATAAATTCCGACTGTGAGTATCTGTTTCCTTTTTGCATATGTAAAAATGTATCTGTTTAAAAGTTGRTCAATGTAGATTCTGTGAACCTTTACCAATGAGCCATGAGTAGACACTTTCCTTCGGGGATCATGAGGCTGTGATCTAGCACGTTTTGCTGTGAGCATCTGTGCATTATTATTGATTTAATGGGAGACCTTACATGCTGAAGGTGAAGTTTTAACAGTTCAGAGCCCAAATGCACAGCAAATGTTGGTTCAGCCCTGTTGTGCCAGATCCTAGCATCTCCTTGCAGATATATGAAGTTTAAGCTCATAAGAGTTGAGATGTGGAAGCAAAATTGTTGCACTGCTGGGTCCCAAGAGCTATGTTGCCTCCCACCATCACTTAAAGCAAGTTCCAGCTTCCTTAAACTGCCCTTTTTTTAGGGCTTTGCAGGCGCTGTATGTCAAACAGGAGACTTTTCTTCAGGATTCCCAAAAGAGTTTTAGAAAACTAATCCCACACCCTACTTCAGAGCCTCTATTTTCTTCTCTAAAAACTATGGGTAATAGGATTTGCTGATCCCTGAGGATTTGTGAGAGCAATTCGTGCTTGTGGGGTGCTTAGTCTGAGCATGATGCGAGCGTGGTGGCCTCTTGGGCTGGGCGGCTCCTCCCAGGAAGCTGAAGCTTCCAACAAGGAGCTCCAACAAGAAGCTTCGGCATGCACAGGGGGAGCCCAAGCTGTGTGGGGCCAAAGATCACTACCTTTTCCTTCCCCTGCCTAGCCAGGTGTGAGCAATCTTAGGCCTGACTGGTTCTTGTGAGCTTCAAGCATTTTTTGAGCATTCAAGCAGCCAAATTACATGTGGTCAAGGTATCTTTGAGCTGAGCAAATGTGTTGGAAATGCAAATGCTCAGCATAATCAAGCCACTTCTAAGTGCCTAAATGCTAATCATCACTGAAAAATGACATTTGGAAAGTATCAAAGATGGCATTTTCATATTCCACTGAAAATAAGCAAGGGAGAAGGGATCAGTAAAAGTTTAATGTGTATTTCTYTGCCTCTTTTGTAGCTCTCTGTGTGACTGACATGTTCAAAGCTTGAGATCTGATTAAGCAAAAAGAGGGGCAAGATACTAATGACATCTTCATGCTTTTCAAACACTTTTGTAATCAGCTGTACTAAAAATGGATTTAAAATCCTAGCTTTAGGTATGTAGACATGGGATATCTTGTCTTAGCCACACTGTTCAAAGTGCTGGGGAGCTCACAGCAGTTTCCCCAGGACTGTAGTGTCTTGATTGCAGCTAAATTTTGATTTTGGGGGGAACTGAATTAATACAGGCACAACTGTGCCAAATCCAGTCTGACTGTAATTCCAGCTGCTGCAGTGCTTTTTTTTTTTTTTTTTTTTCTGATTGTGTGAATTGTGTGAATTATACATTTACTGGTTTGCTGTTTCAATAAGTACTTGCAGTTAGCAAATGGAAAGTTTTAAAATACCAACAAGTGAAGTAGAAAGTCGACCTCAGTGCAGTTCTCCTGTCAATCTGTCGCTGTTGCTGTTCAGCAGGAGTTGATGCTGTCTGTGCCTCTTGCTTTTCAGCTTCATGTGGTTCACTGGAACGCAGAAAAATATTCCAGTTTTGTCGAGGCAGCTCGTCAGTCGGACGGATTAGCAGTCATGGCCGTATTCCTAAAGGTGAGGAAAGAAGGGCTCAGCCCTCCTGACACCTGCCCAGACAGTGGGATAGTGGTGAGGGACAGAGTAACTGCTGCGAGAGAGATGCATGTTTTATATGGGCATTAAAACACGGTGTTTTTTACCTAATGCACAAAAGTATTGGAAATTTTCCTTAATATTCCTCCTTGCCCCTGTACTCATTTGGGGCAAAATCCAGCTCTCGTCACAGCTTCACGAACCTTGCTTTGAAGAAGCCAATGGAGGTTTCAGGCATCTCGTGACATGGGACAGAGCCRTGGTCACACGTGCGGTGTCTGGGAGCATCCTGCCATTGCAAGGGAGGCTCCAGGCTGCTTTCCAGTTCATGCTGTAATGATTCATGTTTCACTGGGTTTCTGCTTGGGATACCCAAGARCTATGTTTCTGAACTTCTCACTGTGTTTTAAGGAATTCTGTTTTCATTGCAACTCTAAAACCTTAATGTTTTTCATAGAAAAAAATGCAAAAGTAAGTTTCTTTAGTTTCCCTGTGGTGTATAGTTTGTGTTTTTCTTTTTTGTAGCCAAATAAGTAGCCAGAATAAGTATTGTCAGCAGAGGAGAGGATCTTCTTTACAAAAAATTTTTGTTCCAGCTAGTCAGAGACTCATATTCACGAAATTATTCAGATTTCACAGACATTTAAGTAAAATTATATGAGGATACATTCTAATATGCATTTGCTTTCCAGTCATTTGCTTTTTTGTTTATTTTCCTCAGAGATCAAGTATTTTTTTCTTTTCTTATCTCTCTTTTTTTGTAATAGATTGGTGAATGTAACCCTCAGCTGAAGAAGATCACTGACCGCTTGGACACGATCAGAGTCAAGGTGAACAAATGCTTCTGTGGGAACATGAATATGGGCGGTTGGTTTTGTAGATGTGTTTTCCAGTGACGTGGCTGCTTTTCCCTTCACAGCTGTGGTCCCTGCTCTCTAGTTTCCTTGCTGTTCATTTCTAGCTCTGATTTGAGACAGTTCAGGAGCATTCTGGCTAAGAACAGGCTAGCAAAGGATAATTTTTCTATCATAAGAGATCAGAGGAAAAGGCAAATTTCTCACAGAACTTAATCTCTGGCAAAGATCATTAACAGAACAAGAAGACAGTAATCAAAAGAAAGGTTTTCTCCCTGGTTTTGCTGAGGTACAGGGTGAGAARGATACTACTCAAAGATACTAGTAGCAAAGGTTGCATAGGAGGTAGGACTTCATTTGAAGCTCGTCTGCTGTGATCATTCAGGATGCCACAAAGGGTTTACACATAGTTGCACAAGCTCTACATCCTTTGGCACAATTTATTTTGCTAGCCTGTTGCTTTTGAATAGTATTGTTTTGCCTTTAAAAAAATATGAATATGAGGCATCAATGAACTTCTGTAAGAAAGTTCATTGATTTGCTAAATATATTTATTCCAGAACCATAATGAACTGCTTTTTTTTGTTTGTTTTTGTTTTGTTCTTATTTTCAGGGTAAAAGAGCACTATTCACAAACTTTGATCCTACTTGTCTGCTTCCCAAATCTCTGGACTACTGGACATATTTTGGCTCTCTCACTGTTCCACCTCTGCTTGAAAGCGTTATCTGGATTGTTCTGAGAGAGCCCATAAGTGTTTGCTCTGAACAGGTTTGTTTTAATCCTTCACGTCTCTAAAAATGTTGCTTTTTTGAAACTTCCAATTGTAAATACTACCCAAAAATATATAGATTTGCAGAACATGACACTGCTTACCTTGTCAGATTTTCAAAGGACAAAATGTATCTATGAAATTTGTCTTGACTACTTGTTGCCTTTCTTTATTACCTATGTTTTTTWAAAAAATCTGCAAACTCTACAAAAAAAAAAGTCCAGAAAAAAAGACAAAATCCTTATGGAAGCAATCCTTATTTTTGCAACTCTGGTGATGCTGGGGAATGCTTAAAAACTGCTCAATTTGGTTATTTCATTTCCTTGATAATAGCAATGCTCTGGCACTCTAATGTGATAGGTCAACAGTAAATTTCTCCTWTTCCAGATGTGTACATCTCTGTGACTGTACTAGAATAATGAATAGCAAATGCTAGCATAATATGTTGGGGTTTTTTTGTGTTATGCTTACTTAGAAGTAGGATACTGCTGTAGGATACATGTTCACTGAAGCTTCGTGCTGTCTGCAGTGCTGCAACAGTGACATCCAGTGGGCTCGTCACTGTATAGCTAAAGGATTTTTCCTTGTGAGGATGCTAAAGATTAGCGTCTAATTTTGGAAGCTGATAGTTGATACAGTTCACCTGTAATATAATTCATAAATATGCTGGCCACACTGTAAATCTCAAGATCTTTGTGCCACAGCATTTGTCTATTTCATGGTAGATATTACAAATATCTCAGAAAAATTAAATGCCCYGAGTCCCCTGCTTGGAAAGCAGAAATGAGGACCTCAGTGTTTGCCCCAAGGGTGGATTAGGATAGTCACTGACTGGGATGCCAGGTCAGGACTCAGCCAGGAGGCCTCCAGTGCACTTTCTAAATGTATTCACACGGGACTTCTATTTTCTGCATCTGTATCTCTTCCCTTAACCCCACAGTTTGGCCATGTGAAACCTCCTACAGTACATAAGCAAACAGAGTGCAAAATTTGCATTGAACTTCCCAAAGACAAGCTGCTGTTCTGATTTGAAGGCTTTTATTTGGGCTAAACTATTGTTAATATGCTCTATAATATTCAGTGCAAACATTTATGTATGGCAACAGGATACAGTGCTGGAAATGATGCAAAGCAAAGTGATTCTTGATGTTTTTCACACACTATCATGTATAACTTACATATTCAAGTATAAATGTACTATACTTTACTATACTCTCATAAAGATGCACCTAGGGTTACTTTCCAGTAATGCCCACAATTCTTGATTCATACCATGACCATCCAAATTTACTCTTCTGTTTAAATTTCTTTGGGGCTTTGCATTTTTCTTCATACCTTTTTGATATACTTCATAGAAATTGAAAATAAATTTTAAGCTTGTAGAAACTCACAGGGAGTTTCAGAGACTTAAGAATTACAAATGAGGTGGACAAAGATAACATGGACTTCTTTTTTCTTAAGACAGTAATTAAATGTGTGTGTTCAATATGTCATTAATTTTGATTATTTAAGTACTTTGACATAATGGTGAAAGTTCTCAACTTTGATGCAAAAGTAAAGTGTCCTGCCAATGAAAATGTGATTTTAAAAGTGGTTGACAGCTGATATTTTTGTTCTGTGAAATGGTGAACAGCTGGAAAYATGTTGTATTTATTTGTGTAACAAATGCACACATTACCTCATGCACAAGGCATCCCCAGGGCCTCCTGGCTCATCATATAGCTCTACTAACAAGTCAGATTGTATACTGACTTAACCCTAAACTGAAGAAAGAGACCAAGATAAAATGAATGGGACAGTTTCAGGAGTTCCATTCATGAGTAAAATCTGATTATTTTATAGTTTGCGTCACTTTTATTTTAAAATGGTTCTGTTTCTGAAGGAAGATGTTCCATTTGCCTCAATAGTAGCTTCTGAAGCTCTCAATGTGCTTTACRACTACAAAAAAAAGTACTATTAAATGGGATGATTTTGGTGCTGTTCTACTCACGGTAATGTAGATAGGAAATTAGACTACCAAATGTCAAATGTTTAATGTTGAGTTGATATAAGAATAAGAATATGGAATTAGTATATTAGAAATGGGACAAAATAATAAAAAGATTCTGATTTTATGGACTTTAGACATGGAGGTCTGATCTGGGTTCTGCTGAGACAGGCGTAGGCAGGGAAGTTTATGCTGAGATTTAAATAACTGCCAATTCTTCGTCTGCATATGGGAAAAAATTTATTTGCCCTAATTTGGGCACACACATATAATGTCCAAGTGGTGGGACACATTACAGAAGCTTTCTATAGTGCAGCACCTATAATTCCAGGTTAACTGTGAATATCATCTTTGAACAAGAGAATGTAAGRATGTGCACGTAAGAAATCTGATTTGGGCACAAATAGTCTGGAGTTTCCAAACTGTAAAATCAAACTGAAAGAATATAGAAAACTTCATGTGCAATTTCATGCTGCCGTGTGTTTCAGGAGATTTTTTTTTGTTAGTCACTGTTTTTTGTTTACAAGGAGAGAAATGGTAGAATTGCCATTCCACACATACCATAGAAAAATGCGATTCCATTCTTCTTCATGGAGAAAAAAAGATGAAAAAGTATCTTTAATGTTCCCTACATTGCTTTTTCCTTAGCACGAGTGTGCCGGTTTTCCTCGTCTCTTTTATGTCTCTGTTCCTTTGCAGCTGGCCAAGTTCCGCAGCCTGCTGAGCACGGCCGAGGACGAGGCTGCCTGCTGCCTGCTGAGGAACTACCGCCCGCCCCAGCCCTTGAAGGGACGAGAAGTCAGAAGGAATTGAAGGAATAAAGCGAGAATCGCCACCCCAAAACCACTTAGGAGCCTGAAATAACATTAATAGCTGACAAACTTTGTGGGTTTTTTTTTTTTTTTTTTTTTGTGGGTTGCTATGACAGATAGGTATTGTTTTATTATTGTCATTTCTCACAGACAAGTATGTCCTGATCTGTTACAATTTCATCCGTGTTAGCTGGTCCAAATGTATTTGAGTGCGTTGGTATGAGAGTGTTGAGATGTTAGTGTTAATGCACGGAGTGCGGTGCTAGCCTTAGTGACCAGAAATGGTGAAGTTGTCCAGAACTRGCCACTAAATTACTGAAGAGGATCCCTGATGCTAGTGGCAGTAAAGCATATTGTGAGACTATACTTCTCTAACATAAGATGTAGCCTCTACGTGAGCCTTTGCACTGTAATTTGTAAGGAAAAAGGCTGGACTTGCAGGGATTGCATGTTACAGTCCTGCACTAGAGGTGGTCCATGCACTAGTACATCACTGTAGTGTGATGCACTGATGGGTACTGAGGGCAAAGAGAGAGCTCCAGCAGCCCTATTTTGACGCCTGATGTCTCCTGCAAAACCTGGTAAGGCTTTGCTGGCAGGGCAGGTGGCCCAATTAGCTGCACTTTTAATATTCCAGACCAAAGATAGCCTTTGGARCACGACAAAGAAATCTTAGTCAAGTCAATATAAAAGATAAACTTTAATAGCAATATCTTGAAGTGGCTGTCTTTGTGGACAGACTTGAGCCTGTGTTTCTCTCAGGAATTTTTGTTTATTGAATGTAATTGTTTTCTGCCAGTTTTATTTTTMTTGATTTTAATGAACTTGCCATAGGATGTAGTTAGCACAGGAAAAAATTACCCTCAGGCTATAAGAAGTACATAGTGAAAGCCAATGATACCTGAGAGGCAACCAGGGGTTTAATRGGCAGCCAGGATAACCAATCTTTGTAGCACTTCTGACTGAGGTCATTTTCTGCTATTGAGATCCATAAATCTGTTCTTTCACAGGTTTTATAGGTTGCACCTCTTGCCTCAACAGGTCCTTTGACCTCAGATGGACAATTGTAAGGGAAATTGCAAATTGGATTGTCTTTATATTCATTTTTATGAATAAAGTAGACATAGAGACGTAGATATTATAGCTTAGTTTAAGATAGGTGATTTTTTATATTCTTCTCCCTAGAATATAGCCAGGATTGCTGCAAGATCTCTCTGCCTTATGAGTGTTTTCTGAAGGAACAAGGACAAATAGGTCAGGGGAGAAATAAAAGTCATTTGGCAGCAGCAAGTGCAGGTACTAACTATGGGGAAAACCTGCAGGTACCTTGTTTGGGAAGGAGAATCCAGCTGGAGAGATCTGAGCCTGGTTCCTCTTGAAGGAGGGCCTGTGGAAAGTGTGCGTGGAGAGAACACAAGTGTGTTGTGTATTTTCACATCCCTTTTTTTAGGATTTAGTGTTGCATCTGGTGTATTCTCCGTTGTGGAAGGAGCTGCATAACACAACCAAATTGTTTACAAGTTGTATGAAGGTGCTAGAGCTGGTTTGCTTGAGAAGAGGAAATAATCAACCTTCTACTTTATATCAGAAGCAAAAATTTCAGATGTTTTTACACATTGTAAACAGTGGAGTTGATCCAGAGCTTTAATATTAATAAGGATTTTATCAAAATAAAAATGGATTTTATGGATGTGTGTTGTATTTTGTGTTAAAGATTTTGGAGTTGTGCAGAGAAGCCTGTACATAGTGCCCCTTCTTATGGGCTAAAGATAGCTTTTGGGCTGCCCTTGGCCTGCTCTGTAAATGTGCAAGGTGAAATCCAGCACTGCACACCGTTTTGGTCCCATAGGACAGTGCTCCCTTGCTCTCATCTGCTTGGGAGGGCACAGACACTTATCTCCTTCTTGTTTGTATGGGTCAGGTAAAAACCTGTTACAACTCAACCATAAACTCAAGCAACTAGGAAAGAAATTTTGAACAAGGTGGGAACAAGGCAGAGGGGTGGGAGCCAGGGCTTCCACAGCCTGTGTGGTTGGATGTGCCCTCAGGATCCCTGAGTTGCCCTGGCTGCAGCGTCCCAGGAGCCAGGATGGAGATCGCCCCGGGAGCTGGGATGAAGATCAGTCCAGCTCATGGTATCTGCTCCCGTGCACTCACTTGCACTGTCTGCTTCCTCTGCCACTGCRTAGACTGTGTCTCGTGTTTTAGCAAAAAGGAATTGTTAACCTTCCAGACAGGGAATGGAGATCCAGAGGAATTCAAGGAATCAGTTGCAGAAAAAGAAAAGTCTTCCAAATACTTGAATTTTAATTACTGTGCAAAATTGAATGTGGCAGATCAATAAAACGACAGAAACAGGGTGTGAAAGAAACATATAARACATTTTGTATAGACTTGACAGTGCGGAAATTGAAGGCAACTGAGARGAAGTCCAGCAGAAAGGTCCTTGGATCTCCCTGCAAGGAGAGATTCTCCATCCCTGYGTAACGAGCCTGGCGGGCACTGTAGGTCAGACTTCTGGCTTCTGCTTTATCAAAGCTCATCCACATACGCAGGTAGATAAAACTGGAATAYTTTTTTCAGTGATGCTGAGATCTTGTTTTTCTGGATGTAAATCCTATACAAAACACTGATCTCTCCTGGTTTTATATCTTGTTTTCAGCAGTCATGAATCCCTGATGTTGCTGTGCCTGTGAAAAACAAGTGACCTGGATGAAATTCAATCATCAGATTCAAGCTCAGGTGTAATCCAGGTGAGAGGGAAACTCTGTCCATGGGAAAAGGGGGAGACACCCTGAGACATTAATGAATCAGTCCACATGTCCTGTCGGTGGCTTCCAAAATTACTATTATGACTACTGTGTTCTGGGATAAAAGTAGCATGGGATGGCATGGATGTGAAGTGAAAAGTGAATAAGCAAAGGAAGAGATAGAAAAATAAGAAAACTGTGCAGAGAAAATTAGACAAAGAGCTGATGCAAGATTTYGGTCTTCATTCAGCACTCTTTTCTTTCAGAAACTGCTCTTGACTCTGTAAATGGGCAAGGCAAGGAGCAATCTGGATTATAAGTATTCTGCTTTAGGTTAGAGATGCAAAGCAAAACATTTTTTTATTGTATATTTTCCTGAGTAAGGGAGAAATGATGGCTTGTGCTGCCAAGATAAATGTGAATATGGAGGTAAGCAGTAATGTTGTCGAGAACCATGTGTAAAAGATTAAAATATCAGAAATTAAAGTGATACAACTCCCTCTCAACACTTTAAAACATGGGTTTTTTTTTGAATTGCAGGATGAAATTCTATAGTTTCTGCAGTATTCCTGCATCATTCTGTGTACATGCTGGGAGCGCTCATCTCATGAGTGCACATTTTACAGCCTCCTCTTTCCTCTAGGCTGTGCTCACTCTGTGCGTTATTGCAGGTTGGTCCAAAAAGGAGATATTCCTTTGCTCTTCAGTGCTATCCATTGCAATAGTACCCGGGTGTTTCTTTCACTATTTTGCATACAAAATACTTCTGTCATAAAAATGCAACAGCATTATCTCTTTCAAGGATGGAAGCAGAGGCAATGATGGGTGAGAGTAAAATATACACACTAATTTAGAACCTCCACTTTGGAATGTCTCAGGTGTAAAATAAATGTCTTTTTATTTTTTTACTGAACTTAACAGTTTCAGAGCATGTGATAGCAGATAACTCAGCTCAGCTGACCTCCCATAGGGTCTGTGTTGTATCTACTAGCCTACTGCAGATGTCTTCAGCACCTGGAGCACCTCAAATGGCACTAGGCATCTGGGTGTGGATAGTTAAACATAAAAAATGAGTTATTATTTTGGGGTAGTTGGAGCCAGTTTTCCTTAGAGAATCTAGTCATTGTTTGCTGTTTTCCTCTTGCTCTGTTTAAAATCCAACTTCTTATGTATTTCGTGGTGTCTTGGATAAAGAGTTTAGTTAGAAGTCATTCAAGGTCTCAGCATCCAAACTTATATTTCAAAACTTTTTAAAATTGTCATGGTTATGCAGAAAACAGTAACCTATATATAAATAGTTTAAAAACTACTGTGTTTCCAAATCTGTAGATGGCTTTGACAATACCCAAACTGCTGAAAACAGTTTTAACTATATTTTAATTACCCATCTTATTGCAAATATAGTTAGAAATAAGAACAATATCTCATTGATATACTTTGACACCAAAGTTAATAATACAAGATCCAGGAGAAACTCCATCTGTGCTCTGTGACTGGTGCCAGCTACATACACAGCAGTCAATAGGGATGTAGGAATGCTAAATACATGATGCTGAGGATGTGCTGTCCTGGGAAGCAGCTACATCTCCCACGCTACTGAAAATGCAAGCAAACAATAAATGAAAACACAGACAATAGGATAGTTAGGGAGACAAACACTGAGAAAACATTATGACAGAATAAAAGGCCCTTTGCATTTTTCTCTTGCCATCAGGTGTCACTGCAAGCCAGGCAATGGTGTGGGTGTCTGGGCACCCATGTGACAGCAGGAATAACCTGCCCTTGGCTGTGGAGGAGGGTGGGAAACATAACTCGGGGACTAGGGACATGCCATGGGTTAGGACTTGCTTCTTTTTCATAAAAGTGAAAGAAGGATTATGCAAAACAGTATGAGTTTCAGATACATAACAAAAACCATGTGCAAATATAAACTGTCGCATTTAGGCAAATCTATATATTTAAATATTCTGTTCTCCATCAACAATAGTTTTAACCATGCCTAGCAGCATTTTGGTGGAAATGACCTCTATATGGTCAAGTTTTCCTGTGTTTTCTTTCAGTTGGAAATTTCTCCAAGGCATTAAAGAAAAGGAAAATTGGGGTCAATGGGGTACCAGGAGCTCTGGCTGTGCCTGGCCAGGTCAGTGCTACCAATCACTGGAAAAGAGCAAATTTGGCATGAGCTGAGCTTCCCAGCTACACAGAAGCGAGCGGGCAGAGTGTGGGTTGGTCTGAGCAGACACAAGAGGATCT